TTCCAAGTAAGGACTCTTTGACGATGCCTTGAGATGGACATGATGTTAGCTGATTCGTGGCAAATATTTGAATCGACGATGAGAATTTCATCTCATTTGGGATTCGTCAGTTGCACGTGCCAGCATTTAGGTGAGTGATAGTGTTCTCATTGAGACTCGAACATACCATTAATCACTGATGACCCAGGTACACCCAGTAAATAAGTCTCCAATAGGATGAAATGTGAGTTGTGGATGCAAATATTAACCATTACCAGTCAAGTATATCATGAAGATTCCTGGACAAGAACAACAACAACAGACAACGATCAGCATAAATGGGAGGAACCTGAAAGAAACAACCTCTTTTACCTATTTGGGAAGCATCGTTTAAACTACAGGGGGAACTGACGAGGATATCAAAGCGAGAATCGGAAAAGCAATACAAGCTTTCACTACTCTCAAGTCTGTGTGGAGGTCAACAACACTCAGCATCAAAAATAAGATCCGGATTTTCAACTCCAATGTGAAGTCACTGCTATTCACTATAAAGGATCAGAGACTTGCACTGCGCTTCATAAAGAGCATCTCAAACAAATTACAGACCTTCATTAACAGTTGTCTTCGCTCAATATTCAAGATCAGAAGGCCGGCCAGAAAAGATCAGCAACAGGGACGGATCTCTGGGAGCGAACCAACCCAGTAGGAACCGATTGTGCAACAAATAGGCAGGAAGAAATGGAGATGGATTTGTCATACTCTGAGGATACCATCAAGTGACATCACTAGACAAGCCATTGCTCAAGTGGAACCCGAAAGGGAAGCGGCGAGTTGGTCGTCACTGTTAGGGTGACTTGGGGGAGATCATGTGAAGAGGACATGAAAACGTGTGGGCAGACATGGAGCCAGGTGAAGACTCTAGTAGAGAACCGAACGCAATGGAGACGCACGGCTGAAGCCCTATGTTCCTCTAGGAATTAAAGGAAACAATAATAATAATATATGTTCATCTCGAGGACTCATCGAGGCATTCTTACTAGATACCGAAATGTCAACAGAGACTGAGCATTTCGATACAGTAAAAAATCGATGACATTCTTTGGAATACCAAACTGGATTCCAAGAGAATGAGCTTTCAAAAAAATAGATGGACCAGAAATTCAAAAGTAATTTAAACCAATTCCTGCAGGATCGTTCACTTTTTATTATATTTTTATTATTCTCTTGGGTTCCATGTGGAACATAGGGCTTCAACAACACATCTTCATTTTCTTCTGTTTTCTGCCATCCTCTTCACTGCCTAGCTTTATGACTACCCATAATCTGTCATCTCCTCCTGACACGATCTCATCCATGTCACCCTAAGACGACCTACTCGTCGCTCCCCACTTGGATTCCACTCGAAGGCTTGGCGCGCGTCGTCATTCCGTGGTCCCTTCAATGTATGCTCGATCCATCTCCATTTTCTCCTCCATAGTTGTTGAGCGGTCGGCTCCCACCTGTTGGTTTGTTCATCGAAAAAGTTTCCTGTTACTAATCCTTTCTGGCCATTTGATATTCAGTATGGAGCGAAGGCAGCTGTTGACAAAAGTCTAAAACCTGTTGGAAATCCCTTTCGTGACACACTGGCCTAGTTTCCAACCCGTATAGAAGGAGTGACTGACTTCTTATTTGTGTTGAAGATTCGAATCTTGTTCTTTATGCAGACTGAGTGAATGAAGGAATATTTCGCCTTTCCGATTCAGACTGACTTTGACATCTTCATTTGTTCTGTTACCTGTGGTTGAAACGATGCTTCTTGAACCTTTGTCAGATCTCTCCCGTTGATAGTGATCGATGCTGGTTGTTGTTATTACTGTTGGTGCTTGGTTATCTTCATCACCTCCGTCTTCTCTATGTTTACCTGGAGTCCTGCCTTCGCTGACAGCCAGCCTCTTCAGCCAATTTGTTGGTTTTCGCCTGCAAGTCTTCGAGTTTGTATGACATTAAATATAAATCATCCAGATCTTCTAGGGTCTTATTATTGGTCACCGCGGCGTATTCCTGTCTCCTCACTCCCTTTGCACAGTCTTCCGCATTATCCATTCGCCTTTAATTAAGAATATCATTGTAGTTGATAACAGTCAGGCAGCCTTGTCTGCCTTACTCCTACTGAGTTTTCCGCTGGGGGATCACCTGACACGTAACACTGTCATGTAGACAGCTGTTGAATAAGGTTGATAGAGATTTGGAGCACTGCATGCCATAGTGTTGAATTATTTTCCAAATTACTTCTCGGTCAACGCTGTCTGGTGAAGGCCTTTTTGAAGTCGATGAAGTTGAGGTACACTGAAATTTATGAAATTTTTAAATGTGAGAAGTTTCTTCTTTACTTGCTTTTTATTTAACATTGGTTACTTTGGTTTATATGAAGTTTCTGTATCACTCAATGAAATTAAACTGTGTTGTGACCTTACCTACTACGAATCTGTTTTTTCGTTTATTCGAAGATCTGAACTGAATCCTAAACACACTGAAATGTAAAAGGTGATGAATGTTTCCCTTATTCGATAGTATACCTCCTTGATAGGTTCTTTTTAATACAAAACAGAAAAAAAGAGCTTCTGTTTCTGTAATCTTAATGTTGCCTATTTTTATAACATTTTAAAAGCTTATCACATCCAGACAGTTGAGTAAATTCAACAAAACCTGTACACCTGACCATATTGATAGGTGACTATTTATGCAATCGGCACAGAGAAGAAAATCACCATAAATTAGTAAATAAGTACACAACTCTAAATCTCAGCATAAGTTACTTACATTGAGGATGAAAATGCAACCTCAGTGAGTTACAAAATTCAATCAAAAATGTGTAACAAGAAAAGAATTACTTAGTCTCATCAAGTTCCCTCTATATACTCTTGTAAACTAGAATAAGTTACACTACCAGATTTCTTTTGTTTCCAATGATAACATTCTCTACACATGTCCTTGTTCATCAAAATGTCAAAAACAATATACTACTGTTGGTGACTTCAGTGTGTATTTATCAGTTCACAAGCTCACCAACACCTACCAGTGTGGTGAAAGCTGTCTACTAGCCAAATTGATAGACAGTAATTTACGTCAATGTTTACGTTCTCAAGATTGGTCGTGAGAAAATATGAACAAAGACTGATTGAAAACCGACCACAGCAGACTTTCGTAGGCGGATACAGTTAACATATAGATGATCTGACATTCAAGAAACAGTCACAAAGAGATGAAAGATTAACTTTGAGTGAGAAGCAACCAATCAGAAGATGGTGCTTGTTTGCTTAACTAAACTATAATAATGTACATGAAAATATATAAATATGCTTTGATTTCCTTAATAAATGATCTGTTGCCTGGCCGTTGTCTTCTGTTGTTACACCAGTATGGCTGTAGAAATGAGGACGGTCAGCCGATCATTTCTAGAGAACATTATTACCTCTAGTAACACAGAATCAGCAAAGACTTCATTCAAAGTCGTGTATGAAGTAAAATAGAACCGATCAAAAGTATCTCGCTGACACGTTTATGAAGCTGAAGCTAATGTCGTCCATAAGGAAAAAAACTTAAACTTTGTGTTCACAAACGTTTTATCCAGTCATCGTCTTACTACCATGACCTCAATCTTCATTTTCTTCTCTTGATATGTCGAGTAGTAAAATTCAATATAATTTAATATTGTGATCCATGATCAGCTTATTGTGATCTTGTTTCTTATCAACGGTCATCAAACAACAACTCATCACTTAATTAGTTAATTCTAAGCTTTCTGAATTACTTAAGATTACTGCTCTTCCAGTTTGATTTATTTTTCTTAGTAACGGACAATAACCTCTCACTCCTATTGGCAATTACTAATATGCATATAAACCCTTATACAACTGTACAGCCTTGGTGAAATGTGACGACACAGAGACCAGTTTGCTAACTAACGTATTCTTAATTCACATCACACTAGAACTTACATAACTTTACGAAACAAGTATAATCCAACTGCTTTCAGTTTCGAAATACTATAGTCAACTGAAACTGGCTGGTCTAAGTGGTATACAGCTACTTACATCAACCAGTTAGTAGTATATAGTTTTACGCATTTATGAATGGATCACATATTGTGATTTAAATAATTTCAGTTCTCAGAGAAAACTGTGCTGAAATCTGATGTCCTCTAATTATATGAATTGTCTATCAATTTGCAAATTGCTGAAGTGACTTATGATGTCACTAGTTGACCTAAGTATATTCGTATATTATATCCGACTTATATCAGACCTCATTTGGAATTTGGGATCCAGGCAGTGAGCCCGTGTTTCAAATACAAAATAGACTTATTAGAAAAGGTGCAAAGAGTAGGAACTAAGCTAATAAAGGGTTTCTCAACCCTTTCATATGAGGAGAAGTTAAGTCGACTGGGTTTATTTCCACTATCATACAGACGACTTAGGGATGACCTAATACTAGCATACCGTATCCTAAGAAATGATTTTGGAGCTAATTTATCAAATTTATTTCTTCCTTCTAGCACCAAACAATTGCGAGGACATCACCTCAAGGTTCAAAAACCACGGTCGAATCGTCTGTGTCTGGAGATCCGTTTTTCGCATCGAAGTGTGAACCATTGGAACTCCCTAACGGAACACGTCGTATCAGCGCCATCCATCGATTCATTCAAGGCGAGATTGGACCTCCTGTGTGTAAAAAATCGAAAGGATTAACACAGGCATATAGCCTACTATCCTAAATAAATTGTAAACTGTAAACTGTAAGTACCTAGTCAGAAATGAGGTGGTCTTAGGTGATTCAACTCTGATGAGCTCAACCCTAAACAGCCGTTCGGCATTTAGGTAACTTCTATCTGGCTAACAAGTATTTCTGCTTGATATGATTAGAAAAACTTAAAAACAGCTATAAGATTGCTTCTAATTAAAGATGAATAAATGAAACATTGAACACCACCAACTCTTTGTTTAAATGCTTCATATTTATTGATTATCAAAAGAAAAGGAGGGAAGGAAACATGAAAAAAATAAAATAAAATAAATGTAAATAAATAATTCGTCAAATGAAACAATGATGAATGAATGGATTGTTTGTATTAATTTGTCGACTTGAATTTTATTAAAATTCGTTGTAAATAATTGAAAATATTCAATTTTTAAAAGAAAATTTCATGGCGAATTTATTGAAATTCTCTTATTCTGCTTTCATATTTCTGATTATATTTATAACATCACAGTTTGTAGGGAAAGTATTGATGGTGCTGAGGTTGGTGTTGTTAAGATCAAAAGGCACACTGTTGCTTGTTGTATGGTTGAATATGGCTGAAGTAATACTGTTTGATACTGGAACAGGTGGCGGCGCATCACTCCTAGTTGGATGATTTGATCGTTTATGATTCTCCAGTGAACGTGACTGACAGAAACCACGATGACATATGGGACATGAAAATGGTTTTGATGTTAAATGTGTGTAGCTGGGGTAAAAATAAGAGATAAAATTGAAATATCAATATGAATGAGTACTAAGATTCATATATACTTTTAGTATTTTAGTATGAAATCCTGTAACCAATCAACTAAATCCCTACAAACCAATACTTGAATATCAATGAGATGCTCATTGGCGATTGGCTCTATTCAAATAGGTAGTCACCTGGGGTTCTAGTGGGAAGTCGTGACCAGTAGGGTGTAGCAAGGCCGGTATGAGGACAAATACTCGCCGAGGACATTGGCTAGTGGTTGCGCTATATTGTGAATTGGCAGTAGTTAGAATTCATGGGCTGGTCACTGAACCGGGTCGCAGTGGCTTAATGGTCTACGAGCTCGCTAGCCTTGTAACCAGAAGGTCCTGGGTTCGAACCCCTTTGGTGGGTGCGTAATGGCGAAGAGTCCCAAACTAGGACGAAACAGCTGTCCAGTACTCCCAGGTGGTTTTCCAATGGTTCTTTAACCAATATCAGTTCATGAGGAAATCCTATAACCAATCAACCAAATTCCTACAAACTGATACTTGAATACTCTGAGTGTTTGTCATGTGAACACTGTACCTTTTCAGTTATTGATAAGAGTGAAATCATTGGTATAACTGGTAGATGTTTGGACTCAGTTAGTAGGAAGCTCTGAACCTAAGCATTAATCAACGAAGTGTATCTACAACTCAGAGAGACTTTAAATGGCATAAAAAAGTGTTATTTAATAAAAGAAGTGATTATATTTCACAATAGCTTTCATTTCCCCTTTTTAGAAATTAATCTATAGTTCAGCTATTCGAAATTATCGAAGAAAACTTCAAATACAGTGTACTACTTACAAATTCTCATAAGTAGTACATGCCACAGCTAAGGCTCCATAGGAGATTCACCCATTGTTGTAATTAAGCATTTAACTTCTGAGATATTCAGATGCACGATTAACTTCTTTAGGACCGTAGTGGTTATATTAGTTAGTCATTAGGATGAAACAAACGCAAAGTATCTAGTCCTTGGTAGAGATGAAGTAATTCTAGGCCAGACTGCTTCGTCCTTTCAAATGAATGTCAACTTTGAATACAGACCCAACTGTCTTCGTTTTGTTGGGAATGAAAGGTCTTAACACTATTGAAATCACTTGAGGGGAAAGAAAAGTCTGTTTTTCACCGTTTGCAGGTGATATGCAGTAAAACTGTAATACTGACAAATCTGTACATCACTGGTTCCAATCTTGCTTCAATTCAGGTTATTAATCTACTAGGCTGAAGTCAAGTGAATGAGTTTCAGCAAGATATGAAATCTAACAGCTCGCTGCATTCTAACTGATAACTTGGTTTTATTTGGAAGCAGTTTAATCTTCAGTTGCCACTTGAAAAGCCAAACCCTATAGCACGAAGTAACTTGTTTCACTTTTTGCAGATGCCTGATGAATGAAATAAAGTGTTACCTAGAGAATGCAGCTTCCAAGTCGGTATAAATGAATGGCTAAAATTTAAAAGTGAGACACTTAGTAAATTAGCTCAGTACAATGAAACCAGATTTTATCTCTTCGTATATATTAGGTGATGTAGTACATGTTATCATTTAATCGGCATTAATATCTCTGAGATTGTATTCGGACTTTTACAAATGATTAATCAAGTGTTCGTTTACAGGGATGTGATTGGTTGCAGGTTTGACTTATCAACAATTATGAATTTAATAATTATAATTAGAATGAATTGAACTAGTAGTAAAAGTTCTGAGTCGACACAAGTAAGCAAGAGTACGTTAACTTGCTGGCTTGATGTTAGACTCCACCAAGCTACTACGCATTGTGTCCATCTCTTGATGAAGAAATTTTCGCGTCTCTTGAGTTCTGAGTGGAACACAGGTTCTTGAGCTCTGAAGTTTCATTGGCCATGGCGCTGTTTCTAGAGGGGTCGGATTACTAGCCTCATGTTCAACCTCTTTTCGTGTCTTCCCTTCAGCTAGTAATAGACGAAGTTTAGAAGGGCATCAATGGGAAATCAAAACCGAACCTGCAGCATGACTGATCAAAAAATGCAAAACCAAACTAAATTTATGAAAACACTGTTTTCTGTATGCACAATGCATGCTTTTTCCATTTTTCAAATCACTTACCTATGATCTCTCAAATGATCTTTACGTCTAAAACGTCTAGAACAGACATCGCAACCAAATGGACGTTCATCTGTATGAGTACGTTCATGTATTGTTCTGTTGTAGGCTTTACTAAATCCTCGACCACAATGTGAACATTTATATACTGATCGTTTGACATTCGATACTCCTTGTGATGATGAAGTTTTAGAGCTACAACAAAGAAAAAAGAAAAGCAGAAAATAGATTTCATTTCATTATTTATTTATTATTTTAATTCATTTTTTTTGTCTATTTAAAATAGATTCAAACTGATCCTGCTGGTGACATAAACTGAACTAAAGTCAGTAAAAGGTGTTATCTGATCTCATAGATTAAAGTAAGCCGAGTAAAAATGAACTTTCTGGTCACTAATTGAGCATGCTGTTATTCACTTATTGGATCGGAATCCAGTGATCAATCAACTCTGACTTCTGTTGATTCGCACTATACCACAGACATTACGCAGTATTATCGGAGAGCATCTACCTTCAAACCTGACTTTGTGGAACCCACCTAGCAGCCACCCTGTAATCAGTCGGTATTCAGCAGTGAATCAACTTTCAGCTTATTTTGGTTAGTGGTCACCGGCAGTGGAAACCAGGATAAGCACTTCATCTTATTCGAAACCCATCATTTGGATGTGCCTGCATTCCCAGACAGTGATGGTGTTCCTGTTGAGAATAGGACCCTGCAACCATCGTTCCGAACGTCAGGGTATTACCTGCTGGCCCACTGGGGTCCCGAGAGCCATCACTTATGCAGCAGGTATTAGTTATTATTTTTTGAAATGCTTGGTCTCCGCTGACATGCTGAGGCACAATGGAAACATTATCAGTCACACAGAATGCACGTTCACTCAGTTAACATGTTCCAAATAAGACAAAATGCGAATCCTGGAGTACACTGTCAGTCACTTTCAACCAAAATAACTTCACGTTAATCGTCAGACATCGTCGGATTGTATGTACTACGAGGTGACATGTCAGCAGAGACCTAGAATTTTGGGGAATAAAGATTAACACAGAGACAAGCCAAGGATGGCATCATTTTCTTCCTTAATCCTATACGAAATATTCCTCTTACAGTCAGCGAACTGCTCATAATGATCTTTTTATTAATTTATGTATCTCATTTTCGTCCAATAGTAATAATGGGTGGTGGTGACTAGCAGTGGAATCCAGGATGCCGATTTCTCCCTATTTAGTATTCGCTATGTGGATGTATCTTCATCACCAGTGTGATGGTGTACCTACTGAAACTCACAACCAGTCCCCATAGTTTCAAACTTTAAAGCGTTATGAATTAGGCCACGAGAGCTAACGTTTATGTAACGAGCATCAGGTATCGATCCAGTATAATCAGTCGACTAACTTAAATAAATAAATAAAGGCCTCACTCGTCTAAATCATTTCATCTGATAACGAAAACAGTCACTGTATTAGATACATCGGTAGATAAATACTTTGAATTATTTACATTCTGATAATACTCCATATATAGTTGACATTAGTGACATTTATCTTTAGGAACCAGAAACACTACACACACGCACATGTTCTCACATATTCTCACAGATAAACAACTAATCCTTCATTTTAGGCCCTTCCTTCCTCAGATAAGCTTAATCTCTTTAATTATTTACAAAACAAATGACATTGGAACATTTAATTTAGAAAAAATGACTAGATAACAGTTTTGTTAGTCTTTATTCCTTTTTTCACAAGATGTTTACTAGTTCCTATCCAGAGAATCACTTAGTTTTACCAAGATAGTTAGTAAACATCTTGACAAGCGAATACAACTAAAGATACTTGAAGTTTAAGAGGAAGTTCTCGTTGATAAGAAATTTTAGACTCAGATCAAACAAACACATTCAAAACTATCTGAAGGTGGATAGCTAAGATGAGGGTATGAAACTGTTGGTTTTAAGGAAAAGATTTTCTCAGTGTTGCTGAACATTGAACGAACAACACACAGCTTGTTTATTCTAGCTGATCTCTATTTTCGCGGCAGACAACAATACCGACTGTCGCTTAGTCGTATGTTGTTTGACAGAAGACTAGAGAAAAACGATCAAAAGTATTATTGTGATTGATGCTGATGTTTATTCATAGATTTTGTTCTGTAGTGACCCTGCAGTCCTTTGCATTTCTTTGTTGATGAAGAAATAAAAAATCCTTGAATTTTTAATCTGTTTTCTGATATCTTCGATTCGTTTACCGCACGTAGGATTCTGAGTTGTAAGGAATAGTCTTCTGGAGGAAGAATCATGTTCAGGATTTGTGGGTTAACAGTCTTTGAAGCTGACACCTTGACAGATGCAAATAATCCTACTAGTAATTACTCTTTACCGACAACTATGATTCAGCTTATAAATATTAATGATTTAGTTTGCACCCTGGAAATATGATAGATCTGGGTTTATTTTCCATGTAAGGCATGAAATATATAAATTGAACTGCCATCTACTGGTATTCCAACCATAGGTTAGTGGAGTGAGAATAGTAGCAGAAAGATTGGACAGCACAATTAGTGTGCAAAATCTGTGTTTGATTTTATTCAACTGTCACGAAGTCTTTACGCATTTGAAAATTTCTGATGTACTTAAACACGTTTTATATTAACTTTGTAGAGGCTTGAAGTTATTTTAGTTTATGTTATCATTATGCTGTATTCTTTTACTATAATGCTTGCTTTTTCGTAAGCTTGTGGTGACAGCTGTCTACTAGCCAAATTGGTAGACAGTAATTTACGTCAATGTTTACGTTCTCAAGATTTGTCGTGAGAAAATATGAACAAAGACTGATTGAAAACCGACCACAGCAGACTTTGCGTAGGCGGATACAGTTAACATATAGAGGATTTGACATTCAAGAAACAGTCACAAATAGATGAAACATTAACTTTAAGTGAGAAACAACCAATCGGAAGACTGTGTTTGTTTGCTTAAATATCCATAGTAATGTACATGAAAATATATAAATATGCGTTGATTTCCTTAATAAACGATCTTTTTTTTTGATTACAGCTTGATGCCACACCGTATTTTCAGTACAAGTATGGAATTTTCAGCATACATATCGGTAGCCCAAATTTTGCAGGCCGACCATAGATATCGAGTGTGCGTCAGCAGGGGATCGAACCTCAGACCATGTGCATGGTCGGCGAGAGTCTTAACCACTGTGCCTGACCCTTGTCTTCTGTTGTTGCAAGCTAACTTAAGAGCTTTACAAAAATTCTAGGAATGGAAATGAAATTTAGGTATCATTTGTGCCTGAATACTGCTATAGTTCACTTAGCAGAAGATTGCGCTAGTATCTCTTTGATTATCCGTTCAATATTTGTAATCAAGCAAAAATGTGTAGAGCTGACAGTAATTTTTGAATTCAATGTTCAATTAAAATAATTTCTCGACTGATCACGAACTGACTTCAGTTAGAGAAACATTTAAAACCAGGAAGTACTGGACAGCTCTCTCTTCTTTGTTTTCGGCTCTTCATCAGTACGGATCGATGATGCCACTCGGGATGAGACCCAGGATCTTCAGGTTACAAAAGGCAAGCTCATAGACCATTCTGCCCCACTGGGAAACAACCCAATGGCACATTAATTCTAACTTCTGCCAATTTTTGTGAAATATTGTGTGACTGCTATTCAGTTTCACGGATGAATATTTATACTCACACCCAACTTGGTGAACCCCGCTGCTGACGGCTTCCTACCAGGACTTCAGACAATATTCTGTAGTCAGCCAGTGGTAAACATTAAGTCATTTATGAACTGGCTTATAAATGAGATGCCTATCAGAATAACTGTGTATTTTTATTCGTAATACTAGATATAACGCACCTGAACGTTATCTATTTTCTTCCTACTCAGCTGACCGACTCAGCGTCAAGGTAGGTTAGTTCACTATTAACCAAATGAATACACATGAAATGTACAACACTCCTTATAATAAAGGGATAAATGACAAACACTAAGTTGGTAGGGATCCAGCTTATTTCAAAGTAAGTTTCATCACCAATCGAAATGGACTGAAGAACCATTCAGAACTAGAAAGCAATGAACAGCTGATTGGTCCTAGTTTTAGACACAGAAACTGCATGATAACAAGCTCGCTTTGCAAAATGAAGAATCTGTGTTCCATCCTTGACAGGATCAATACTGGGCACTAGTGAAGAGTTAAACTAAGGCGAATTTCACTGATTCTCTAACTAATGTCAGTACGCCAAAAAAATCTACCACTGAAATAAATGACAATTATCATTTAATGACGCTCAGTTGAAGTATTCGAGGTTATGCTCGACAAACAAAGTAAATCCATGCGATAACTGCATTTAATCAATATCAAGGTAGTCAGATGCATTAATAACATGTTATTCGTTATTTCCATACTTGTATTAATGTTTAATGTAGTTGTCATGACGACTGTCTAGAATTCATTTGATTAGTGGTCTGTCACTTTTAAGATAAACTACTTGTATTTACTATACTGTAATCAGTTAGATAAAAAAACATTCTATTTCGAAGAGGGTTAGTAATTTATTTTCAGCGGTAAAAATGACACTCAGTGAAAACAATGAATACTCAAAAATGATCAATTGTTCAATGTTTCAATGTGACAAACTTTGCTTACCCTGTGAATGAATATTTCACTCCATTAGTTAATTCATATTTTTTACTGAAAACTTTAATTTCGCTTGAATGGTTATCTGTAAATTTTTGATTACTATCGCAATTGATATCTTTGAACACTATAGATGTATTAGTAGTATTAGTAGAGGTAGAAGTAGTTTGTTGTTGATCTAATCGATTCAACTTCATAGCAAGATTTAATGGAGTTGTTTGAACTGGTTCAACATTCTCACAATATGTCTGGGATAGATTAATTAATTGATCCCAATTATACAAATTGAATGAAGTGTTTAAATTGTTTGTATCAATTGGTAATAATGTTGTTGGTGTAGTGGCGTTAGCAGAATCAAGTGAATAGACGGTAGGTAACGAATGATTTGATGATGTAATTCGTGAAATATCTTCTACTTGTTTACTATTATCCTCATTATTCATTAATTGTGCGAGTAAACTTCGCCAAATACGCCATCCAGTAATTATTTGATTGAAATTTATCATTGGTGAAGAGTTAATCAGAGAAGCTGGAAGATTAAGGCGAAAGTTGATAAGTATATTTTAATGAGAAAGGTTAGTCAATAAAATCATCAGTTAATTATCTTAATTTCAGTCAGTTTGATTTTCATAATGTTTGGTGATTGAGGGTAAAGTGAGAAGTCTGAGTAGCAGCAGTAGTAAACCCCGAACTATTAGTCAGGCACCTCTAATCAGCTATTACATCAGCCGAACAGCACGTCAAGGAGCCTCACCGCCAGTTTGATTTACTTGAAAACTCAGCTCCACCGACTAGAGGAGATTTTAAGTTCAATCACGAAGTAACTCCAGTTAGGGGACTACTGGAAACCAGGGAGCAGTGGTCATATGTTTCATCCTGCTTTGGGACACTTCATAGTGCACAGCTGTGACGCCACTGGGAATCGAATCTGGGAGCTTTGGGCTACAAGGTGAGCTTGCGGATTATTCAGCCACTGTGATGAAATCAAATTCCAACTTCTCCACAGTCTGCCATTGCAGCTACCAGTCAGTATCGTTAGTGAGTGTCCGTTCTCACGCCCACCGTTATGGAACCCATATGTTACGACTTCTCACTGGAACTTCAGCAAACTAATTCTGTACTCAGTCACTAGTAAGCATTAGATTGGTTAAGCAGTTATTATTATTATTCCCTTGGGTTCCGAGTGGAACATAGGGCTTCAACAACACATCTCCACTTTCTTCTATTTTCTGCTGTCATCTTCAGCTGGGTCCACGATCGCCCACAACCTCTCATCTCCTCGCATGATCTCCTCCATGTCACTCTCGCAATGACGACCCATTCGACAATTATACAGTCTTTAGGTGAGAAATTTCTGCAGTATTAACATGTCTGTTTGCATGCTTCTTCAACAAACAGTAATTAGGAGTGTCAATTTACTGTTTCCATTATTTGAGATTTAACGGTCAGTACAACTGAAATGAACTGAATCTCTAGAGTGGAATTCTAAAGTATGATTTTCCTCTATAATCAAACCACAGAACTGTATCGTCATTGTCTATCACTGCTGAATGACATTTTTCCTGTAGTGCTCGCTGCCATACTACTTTAGAATAAAACAAAAAAACGCAACTATCAAAGTCCGTTATAGTTCACTGCCATACTTTATGGTGAATATCGCTCAAGCCTTTCTGTAGAGGGTCATCGGGGAATGTTTACCTTACCGCACAAATAGTTGTTTGTATGAATTTATTCCAATTACTGTATGGCAGAGTACAATAAAAATAGACTCGTTCCTCCTTATTTCATAGAAGACCTACTAAATTCGTTACTCTATGGCTTGCAAAATAATTGTATGGACTCAATCACTGAGCTGATTAGCTAAGTATAAATGGGTTTTTTTGCAAACAATAGGACTTGCATATTTATCAACTGGAAAACTTAGGTGTTATATCTGCATAATCGATCTAAAAAGACTATTTGTATGCACTATTTACTCATTTTGATGATACTTCTTGTTCCCTTCTTTATGTTAATACCTCCTTTTGCCTATAGTAACATTTTTGTAGTCTTAAGAAATCCCTTGTCAAGTTCTTACTATGTGTAAGCAAAGACATATAAATTCCATATTAGATAAGTTCATTTGACATAACAGTGACGTTTCATAATTATATCAATATAATATATTGAGTAACTTATATTTTATAGACGTCCTGATTTAGTTGAGGGTTGTCTAAGCATTCATCTATGAGTCGAATACAGAGTCGTTTCATTTGCGACTGATTGCACCCACCATTATGCTAACCGATCTGTTAATCCACAATTAGACATTTACTACACAAGGTTCCATCCTACTGTTCAGCGAATAGAGTAAAGGATTTTGTCTCCAAGATTTGTAAAATATTCCAACTGTGTGAGACATAAGAAGTTCTGATAATGAGCTGTCAACTGTTTGCCTCATGTAGATGTAAGTTAGATAGAATATCATTATAGTCTTTCGCCTTCTACCGTTTCAAAAGTGTAGATTAGTTGTCACAACCTCAGAATACCGGTTTTCAATTCAACCACTGCCTCTTTAAATCACTCCCAACCTTCATATACGACATCACTTCATTTACGCCATACATTTAGTCAATAAAAAATTGCATAACTGTTGGTTCAGAAATAATTAGGTTATGTTTGGATTGGTTGAAGGATTTCATCATGAGCCGATTTTAGTCAGAGAACCATTGGAAACCATGCAATGAGTACTGGACATCTGTTTCGTCCCAGTCTGAGGATCTTCATCATACGCACCCACCGGGGTTCGAAACCAGGACCTTCTGGTTACATGGCTAGCGGGCTCGGAGACCGTAAAGCGACTGGGACCCGACCCAGTGGCCAGTCCATGAATTCTCACTTCTGCTAATTCATGACATAGTGTGACCACTTTGCAGTGTCTTCTCCGACGAGTTACTGCCTCACCTTCAACCTGCTGCAACCTACTGGTCACGGCTTCCAACTAAAAACTCAGGTTAACTGCCTGAATAGGGCCAGTAGCTAGTGAGCACCAGATTAGTTTTCAAGTATTGGTTTTGTAGGAATTTTGTTTGAGGTGGTGCAGTAACTCATCGAAGAAGACATTGCGAATTGGTCACACTATGTCATGAATTGGCAGAAGTTAGAATTCATGCACTGGCCATTGGATCAGGTTCCAGTGGCTGAATGTTATACGAGCTTGCCTTGTAACCAGAAGGTCCTGGTTTCGAACCCCAGTGGGTGCGTTTGATGAAGATTCTCACACTAGGACGAAACAGCCGTCCAGTACTCTTTACAGGTTTTCCAATGGTTCTTTAACCGATGTCAGCTCATGACAAAATCCTCCAACCAATCAAACAAAATCCCTACAAAACCAATACTTGAAAATTTATATTTGAATTGTAAATTACATTGAAACGATCAAGCTCATAAGAGGAGCCTTTTTTATCAACTTACATGCATATAAATTCAAAATATTGTTTAAATGTGTTAACCAAAACGAGGAGGTATTGGATGAAGTGAAATGCTTCCAGTATTCTTCTGTCAACGGACACATAGAATTAAGACTGGTGTTTGTCGTTAATGGTACTGCTGTTGTTGTTGTTGCTGTGGATGTTGACGATGTTGGTGATGGAGTTGACGATCTAACTTCAGTCAAATCTTCACTAATAGTCTGAGCATGATTTTGGTTTATACCTTGTAAATTATTAAATATATCACTGGCAAAGACTGTTGATGTTTCCGGTTCACTGACAACTGAATTAATGGTGGCGGTAGTAGCGGTGACAGCCGAGTTTATGGAATCTTCTGAACTAGACTGGAATGTGTTTAGGAGAGGTTTATGTGATATATCCTCGATATCGTATTTGTTGATTAAAGGTGATGCAGATGAAGAGTACTTTGAGTGAAGTGAGAAATCTTCTGTTCTATTTAAGTGACCATTACTGATAGGCGTAGAGGTAAGTTGACTTCCTGAAGGCACTGATAAGGCACTGGAGGCTAATGAAATGCTAAATTTAAAAACAAATAATATTTTAAAGAACAGTCACTTTAATATATAGAAATATATAAAGAATGCTTACAGTATAAAAGTAGTATTTCCACTTAAACATAAAATGCACACGTTAAATTGTCAATAAATTGTAATAAAGAACAGGAAAGCTGACGATTCGAATATTTTGAATTTCAGTTATTATGATGGTCAGAGTGGATCAGCTTATCATTCAAAGTAGGTTTGAATAGTTCAGCTTTTGTGAAACATAAATAATTCTCACTTTATTAAGAAATGGCGAGTCATTGTACCAGTAATAAAATCAGAAATAAAAAGAAGAAACATTGACTTAAGTTTTGTTTAACAGTTGGAATACTGCTTTCCTTTACAAACTCTGAAATATATCTCGGTACAAAAACACACATTTATTCTCTTCGGTACACCCTCCTGATAAATGTGAGTATTTGAGAACCCCTCACATCGAATGGTATTATTTGTTAGTTCGATAGAATTCATCCAAGCATAGGACAATCGTTTCATCCATTTCGCAGATAAGTTCACTAACAGAAACGTCTGAATCACTTCATATCATCCAAATTATGTCTAGTTAATTGGGTGAATTGACAATGGTTGCAATCAAACTACACAATTACTAAGCGCTACTATTACATATGATTCCTTTCCAACTACTTACATCAACCAGTAGTAGTGCATAACATCATGCTATTTCGCTAGCTTTTTTGATTGCCATTTACACTATCAGAAAACAGGTGATGAAGATTCCTGGGCAACACCACCAACAGCAACAACAACAACAGACAACAATCAGCATAAATGGGAAGAGCCTGAAAGAAACAATCTCCTTTACCTACCTGGGAAGCATCGTTTCAATTACAGGCGGAACTGACGAGGATATCAAAGCAAGAATCGGAAAAGCAAGACAAGCTTTCATTACTCTCAAGTCTGTGTGGAGGTCAACAACACTCAGCATGAAAATGAGAATAAGATCCGGATTTTCAACTCCAATGTGAAGTCAGTGCTACTATACGGATCAGAGACTTGGCCAGCGCGTCATAAAGAGCATCTCAAACAAAATACAAACCTTCATCAACAGTTGTCTTCGCTCAGTACTTCGATCAAGATCAGATGGCCAGCCAGAAAAGATCGGCAGCAGGGAGGGATCTCTGGGAGTGAACCAACCCAGCAGGAACCAATTGTGAAACAAATAGGCAGGAAGAAATGGAGATGGATTGGCCATACTCTGAGGAAACCATCAAGTGAGTGACATCACTAGACAAGCCATTGCTCGAGTGGAACCCGAAAGGGAAGCGGCGAGTTGGTCGTCAGTGCAAGGGTGACTTGGAGGAGGTCATGTGAAGAGGAGATGAAAACGTGTGGGCAGACTTGGAGCCAGGTGAAGACTCTAGCAGAGAACCGAACTCAATGGAGACGCACGGCTGAAGCCCTATGTTTTCTCTAGGAATTAAAGGATACAATAATAATAATAATAATAATTTACACTATCAAAGAGATCATATACTGTGTTCTGAATATGTATTCTCACCTCGATCTGTGTAATTTATGAATGACAAATTCAATTTTCGTCGTTCCTAGAGGCTTTATTAAATATGAAATGCCTTTACAAAGAGTTAGAGCGAATTATTTACTGCCTAAAATCTTTCATCTTTTATAATTTAATGGGAATATTAGAATTTCCGAAATATAACAGGAATATCTTTCTAATGAGACAAATACTGAATGTGTTTTGTGTTTTCCCACAGAATTTGTTTCAGTGCTTTACTTCTAAAAATTCCCTTGTAGTAAACATCTCAAGGACACTAACCACCATTAGGAGTCAGTTGACTGTGACCTGTTTCATTCGAACAGATGTAGACTGGAGTTTAATAAAATTCTATATTCAGCAAAGAAAATATATAAAAAAGATAGTAGCATTTACTCAGTCGACTGGACAAGGTTACACATTGATCTGAACAATAAGTCACTTCAAACACTGACTACAGATGTAGTAGGAGGCTTGGTCATAAGTGACTAGAAAATATTACATCTTCTGTAATAATAGTACTGGTGTATATTCACTCTTACATCTTTTTGATTGTTTCTGAGATCTTTGATGCTAAGAGCAGTGGTCGTAGAATAAGCTACTAGTTAACTGTCAACCCATATATTAAGTGAGCAATATGCAGAGCCAGTCAGATTTAACATTTGCAAGTTTCATCCTAAAATATTCAGGTAACAATATTTGTAATCTGCAGGGTACACCACTGATGATCTCCAGCCCAAACGGGCAAAGCGGGTATTCAATGCTTAGATCGCTTCGAGACAGATGGAGATAGTAGGGAAGTAAGCATAAAATGTAGTCTGTTCGTGCAAAACAGATCAGAATTCCATAAGACACCAAACATTTCTGTGATCAATTTCACTATGAAAATCTGCATTTCAAAAGGAACAATATTACACTTCCATTTTACTTTATTTTTTATTTTTGATTACAATTTGATGCCACACCGTATTTTCAGTACAAGTATGTTATTTTCAGCATGGATATCGGTAGCCCAAATTTCGCAGGCCAACCACAGATATCGGGTGTGCGTCGGCAGGGGATCGAACCCCGGACCATGTGCATGGTCGGCGAGAGTCCTAACCGCTGTGCCACCGACTTACTTATATACGCTCAGCGAAGTCTATACAAACAGTTGAAATATGCCATCACTAACTAAAGTTTATCAATAAAACTGCATCAAAATGTTCGAATCAAATGATTGAAATAATCTGAATAGATAAATAGAATTAGACTGGACGAAATTCAAGGCTCCTAATAATAGACGAGAGTATAAATGTGTGAAATAGAGAGAGAACTGGAAGAATGAAAACTGGATCAGTGATTCAAGGAAGACTGGCGTGTTTTGGATCAACTAACTGTCATTTGTGACTCATCAGTACATCTAATTTTACCTTAATCTACTAAAGCTTATTATTATAATACTGTCAAATAGCTCGCAAACTGGAAATTTCTACAGTTAGTTCACCATTTCAACTTTAGTTTATCATTTCCGGATTTATACGTATTGGTATCTCATACAAATATTTGGCCCCTTTATGTTTAAAACTATCTTATCCTATGAATAAACTTAATCAGAGAAATACTGGGATACCAAGAGTTCATCGTAAAAGTGATTTTTAAGAGGCATTTCTGGAGTATATTTTAGCTTCAGCAATATATATTCTACCTCTGGGAAGGGAAATTTCTAGAAATGTCAGCATTTAGATTATATTTTCATGCCTAAATTGTAAACAAATGTAATAGTCCCAGAGTTATTTGGCATTTCAAATTCTACAGAAGATATATGTGGACGATAAGTTTATTACAATATAACAAGAAACTAAGCATTAAAGCTATAACACCTTTTTACCAGATGAACGTTACTATGGAAATGGGATTTTACTCGAAAATATCATTGATAAACAAAGTAGACACATTTTCGAATACTGTTTTCGTCGAAGACACATTAGAAATGGTTAGATTAATTTTCCTGAATACAGAAAAGCCATCAGTTTTTATAAATTTGTGTAGGTAACGTTTCCATTGTTTCATGCTTGCATAGAATACTCGAAAGGTTTTAATTCAATTTTCGATTTTCCCTCCGATTGATTGGATCGAAGTGCTTGATCTCAGGCTGATACTGGATTCGAGCTTCGGTGAGAACATCATCACTCTACATCCAGGAGACGAGTCTCAAATGGGACGAAATGCGCATTCTGGATTCCACTGCTAGTCACCATCCACCAATTAACTCGAAAGATTTACTGAGTATTTTAAAACATTCATTTTCTAACTATAACTTACTGAACAAATAATTTGGTGGATGGTAACTAGTAATGGAATCCAGGATGCGCATCTCGTCCTATTTGGGACTCATCAGTCGGATGTACCTGCAGTCCTCAATGTTATAGTGTTCCTACTAAGCTTCGAACCCAGTACCCTTCATTTCTGATATCTAAGCGTTATCCAGTAGACTATATGTCAACAAAAGCCGAACGTTTCAGTCCAATGAATTAACGGGAAAATCAAAACTGACTTAAATAAGTAACAAAACAATTGATCAAAAACTAGCAGTGTAAATATTCTCCGCTGTATCAAATTTGTTAACTACTACAGAGATGATATATTATTTCTTACAACATTATGTGCTGTTAGTCTGCTCTTAGTGTTATCGCCTGCTGATGTGTCCAATACTGGGACGAAACACGTGTATACTTGGTATTTAGTCATAGCATTTACATTGATTGTTATCTGGATCGCAACTAGTATCATGTGTCTAGTCTTTATTGGTATTTGAATGCATTCTATCAGTCAAGTTTGCAATGGGATTGCTAAGCTAAGCGACTTCTTCAGTGAGGTGTAATTTGAAATATTTTCAGGCTGTAAGTGACTGAATGGCCTGTGGTCTAGTGAATGATACTTCGTACATTTGTCCCTAGCCGGCTGGAAGGCTGGCAAAGAGGGAAGCTTGGGTTTGGGGCTATCAGTCTCACCCTGTAAGAACAATACAAGCTCTACTGATATTTCCAAGCTTGATGTTGAAGCCCTATGTTCCACTCAGAAAGTAGAGGAAAGAAAGAGGCAACTACCGGTCTTTATGATAGTGAAACCCATCTCACTCAGGGATCCAGTCGGAGACAATGTCACTGAATATCCTGACGAGTGTATCCTCTAACAGTCATACCGTTTATTGAGTAATCTCAGCTATGGATGTTCAATAGGCTTGAAGTACATCATATCTCAATTCAAGGGAAAAAAGCTAAAGATGTAATTTATTGATAAAATGAAAGAGATAATAATAATTAAACAGTTTTCCATGATTAACTCACTTGTTAGGATCCGATAAACTCTTTACTTGTGAAGCAAAACAGTACGAGTTATAACTCAAATTATTGTCAAGAACATCGTTATTGCTGCTGTTATTGTTGCTATTATTTAACATGGCATGAAATAGCATTGTGATTTCCTAACACTCGAAATAAGACTCAATACACAATCCTATATGACTCGTTTCACCTATTTATATGTAGGTAAACCATTCTATCCATCTATCTATCTATCTATCTATTCAAACAGTTCAAGTTACTATGGTTCCACTATTCACTCACTGCCTTGTTGATGTTAACCATCAATATGCAAATACTTCCTTTTTGTTGCCCCTTAAAAGTGTAGGATATAACACCCACACTCCCTCCATCCCCACCCCTACCATCACACAAAAACCCACACATGCACACACACATGAAGACATCATGACATAATGTTACACTTAAACCGTATCTAATTATCCGGGTTCTAATTCACATTCATCCCATCGTAATATGTGTATATATTTTTTCTCTTACTCTTATGATTATGCTGTTGAAGGAAAACAAAACGTCATAGGATTGATTGTCACCCATTGAAATTAGGCTTACAGCATCGAAAAACAAGCACATTTTTGGGCATATATATACACACTCTACTTGCACTTTGCATTACAAAGATGAAATGTCCGCTCTCTCTCTCTGTCCTCTAAAACTCATCTTTTCACGAATTCTCTCAAGCTCTCTCGTGCTCTCCTTTATTATTTCACGCTTTTACACAATGTGTATATAATCAATTTAGTTTTACCTAATAACAAAAGACTGTTGAATATTTAATGAGTATTTACTTATCTATCTATCTATCTATCCGTGTGCAGATTATTTACTTCAGCACAAATCCCTTATAGGAAATCTAAGTTTTGAAAATCAGGTGGACAGGAGAAAGGGGACACGGCGGGAAAACTGTATTTACCGTAAATTACATAAATGAATAGATTTATATACAAAAATAGGAAGCTGGAGAAGGAGATTGGCTCAGAATGTAGACTACTTATCATTTTATTCATATATCATCTTAAAGAATGCTAGAATATGTGTGGAATCTCTCTTCTCTGATCATTATGCATCACTTTTTTCACCATTTTTATAAGGTCACGCTGTCTATTATTAGGAAATAAACTGAATACATTTCGATGATTAATGGGTTATTTAAATTTGTGCCTTATCAAAAATAATTCAGTGTTAATTGTACAAACCATTCTATTTCAGATTTACTATGAATTATGTGTCCTAAAATCGATTATTTCAGTGACACTTCAACTCTGACCTATTTGGCTTTGAAAATCTCACCAGAAGAAGTGAAACATACAGCCGTAAACTCGAGTAAGATGCCTATCGTTAAAGTTATAAAGTGTTTTGTACTTATTATTGTGTAATAAAATTGTAGAAAGGTAGTTATTCAAACCACTGATAGGCGTGAGATATAAAATTTTGAATTTTAGGGAGAAAATAACTCAAAGTTATGACTGTCAGAAGGATTTCTCTTCAAAACGAAACAAGTCGACAACAATTCCCCACGTGACATTATTTACTGTATGTAGAATACTGTGTTCTATTCATTTGTGTCTCACTTGTGTTGTCATTGTGTATTTCAGAGCAAATTGAAAGGACTATACATTATGAACACAATATTCAGCGAAGAGACTCTTTTCAACGAATTTATTTTCAGGCTGTACAATCGTATATATATGGTTTTCATAAAGAAATTATATCCGGTGAGGGAATTAGGTCAAAGGTGTGAATACATGAAATAATAATAGTATGAAATGCAATTAAAATATTTGTGATTATAATCATAGTTCAATGTCAAGTGGCAAAATAATTAATGTCATATATAGAATAATACATAAGGTGTATAGATTTTGGAAAGGGGTACATAATTATAGGATTAGTAGGCAAATATAAAATGTTACATAACATGGTGTGAAATTTGATAAGACAGAATTCAATATTGTAAAAAATATAAAAATATAAAGATTAATAATTTTAGGTTTAAAATGTCAAGTGGGTCAAGTGAAAAAGATTCTGAGTGAGAATAGTAATAATAATAATGATAATAAAACTAATAATAATAATAGTAATAAGGGAAGAGTACATAGAATAACTAAATAAACAAAATAAATAAATGTCTATCCCTCTACAGCCAAGGCAAAAGTAGGGATTGTACATACAAAGGTCTGGCTTAAAGTCATGAATTACCAAGGCCTCAGCTGTCTTTAGAAGTCTGTAACGAATAAAAAGCGGGTAGTTAGCATGGATTCTGTATATGATCTTAAAATTATGGTCAGGGTTGACAGAGTGACAGAAGTCGATCAGGTGTTCCAGAATATAGAGCTTCACACGCACTTCCTTTCTCCCCTGTAAAACCAAGCTGGAATATGTTCATTATGAGCTGAACGCCGCCACCTCTTGTGCTATTATGGCAGTGGTTTACCTTTAACGCATTCGCAAATCATGCTCTCTCTCAAGAGTACCAGGTTTAAGGTAGTGACATAAAAAGTACCTCTAATGTACTCCGACAAAAGCCTTCTAAATGCCTCGTCAGTAATATCCCTTTTGGATAACAAGTTCATATCTTCTTTAGCACTTTGATTTAACTGGGGTGATTTGTTTCCTTAGTGTTTCTTTCAATAAGCCTTATATAGTATCTGTTTAGAAAAATGTTTTAGGAAGGTTTTCTACTTTCGTGTCATTTAACCCCATATTATTTGTTTTTTTAAAGCAATTCAGACATTCATAAACAGCTGTGAAGTTGAGTATTTCACATCTACAGACTGACTGATTCCATATAATCTTTACGATTTGGACATTTTGCTAGTTAAAAATCAAATAATATTTGTGTGACCAGTAGGGTACAGCAGGTCGGGTGTGAGGACAAATACTCGCCGAAGACATTGGCTAGGGGTCGCGCTATATCGCGAATTGGCAGAAGTTAGAATTCATCGGCCATTGGATCGTGTCCCAGTGGCTTAATGGTCTACGAGCTCGCCTTGTAACCAGAAGGTCCTGGTTTCGAACCCCATCGGTGGGTGCGTACTGATGAAGAGTCTCAAACTAGGACGAAACAGGTGTCCAGTACTCCCAGGTTTTCCAATGGTTCTCTAACTAATGTCAGCTCATGATGAAAATCCTGTAATATTTGTGTCATTTGTGTCAAGTTAGCTGGTGTAACTAAAATAAAATGGCTTTAATCTAATTGTTCATGCAAATATCTATCTTTGAAGCACTTAACTGTAGATAATACATGTTAATAAAGTGGTTGAAGCACAGTTGGGAACTTGAGGGGCTTCATCTTCGGAAATTTTTTATTGAGAATAGAAGGCTAACGGCCTCTGTTAGTCCCTTTCTGTTATGCCCCGTTTGAACTAGTTGATTAAGGGCGCAGACATAATTTCTCATGGAAGTCATTCCTATCAATGAATGACTCTGTAGCAGAACCAGTACAGCACAGCTACAGAGCATGCTCTTAGCTTCTGAAATCTTTTGTTATGGCATCTGAGTTGGTCCAGATTGGCAGAAAGGATAGAGTAGACCTATAGTGCGTCGATGGCACAGTGGTTAGGACTCTCGCTGACCATGCACATGGTCCGGGGTTCGATCCCCTGCCGACGCACACCCGATATCTATGGTCGGCCTGTATATTTGGGCTACCGATATCCATGCTGAAAATTCCATACTTGTACTGAAAATACGGTGTGGCATCAAGCTGTAATCAAAATAAAAAAATAAATATAGTTATGCCTTAAAATTCTGACCATTGTGAAAAATTTTCCCTATGTCTGCCGTCGAAAATTGGAGAGGAAGTAAATTACCATGACTTTAATTCAAGGAAATAATCTAAATGTACTTTGGAAACGATTATTAAGTAACTTGTCCTCAATGCAGAGGGAAATGGAGATGGATTGGACATACACTGAGGAGACCATTCATTGACATCACACGCCAGTCCCTCCACTGAAGCCTGAACGAGTTGGGCATCAGAGGGTGACACACAGGGGATCGTGTGAGGAAGAAATCAAAGCCAACATAAAAAGACCACGAAGAACAGAGTGAAATGAAGATGTGCTGCTTCAGCCTTATGTCTCAAGGGGATAATAATAATAACGACAGTTTGTGTACGTCACTGTTGTGATCAGTTTGCTCCCACTGGTTTTAGTTAGCTTTTTCTGTCGCTATGGCGACGGTGAGATATTTACATGTCACGAAAGTTCGAAAAGTCTCAAATCACACAGATAGATCGCTGTGCTCGTAATGTTTTACAGTTCTGTTCACATCCTTGTGGAGCACCACTGCATTTAAGACTGTAGACTATGCTCGCTGACATTGTTATATTAAGGCTTTATGTTTGTTGTTTTTAACCTTCTAACAAAAGAGATTGAAATCAAGACGTAAAGAATTATAGGGTGCTTATAATTCATCTCATATTTTAGCAGTATGTGTATATTAACTAATTAAACCATCTTAACCATTCGGAGAAGTATTTCCGATCACAAAACCAAACTGGAATAAATCAAAAGACAATTATCTATACCTAAAACGGTTACTACCAAACATAACTGTAAAAACAAAAAACAAATATATTAACCTCTAACTACCATGGTAACGCCTGCATTATTTTGTAGTACAAATTCGGTGTACTTCTCGAGAGTTTAGACTGATTTATGTAATCTTTTTGTGTGTTGAATCTTTGTAAATGGTTTAGTTTTCTAACAATGATTCTATCGCATACTAGTTATTTAATACCTCAGCATATATTTAAGTTTACAGAAAAATGTTCCTATTGATGGGGGGAAAACTACCATCATTGGAGGTCTCAGAGATATCTCTAAGAAAACTGTCTTCATGAAACTGGACTTCAAACGTGATAATGGAGCTGAAATTCTTAAGAAATCTGTTTTGAAGTATCTGAAGACGACATTTTACTCATCTGTCCTGAGAATCGTATTCTTCAACAGACAGTTTCTTCATTCATATGTCAAGGAAAGAATACGGTTTCTGACTATCTCAGTGCGTATTTAACAGTTTACACGTTCCCATGGAGCAAAGACCATCAGTCGTACACAGTGTGAAGTCCGTAGGTATATTCTGG